CTACAAAAGGAAATAAAAGATTTGAATAATATTTACAATAGTGCAGAAATAATTGAATGGAGATTCAGATTCACAAGCTGATTCTTTCCTTAACAGCTGGATCTCTAGCTGCAGCTGAAACTGCAGCTGTGGCTGCAACTATAGCTGTAATTGTAGCTGGAACTGCAGCTGTCATAGCCCAGCTACAGCTAAAACTGCAGTTGTTGTAGGTCTAGGGCAGCTAGCCTAGCTCAAACTGCAGCTAGGGTTTCCCCTGGAGCCGAAAATCTGAGTGATGAAGAGGAAGAGGAGAAAGAAGAGGACAGGGGGCCAGAGGACAAGGGGCCGACGACGAGGGGCCGGAGTGGCCGGAGATGGACAAGGGACTGAAGAAGGATGAGGGACCGGAGAAGGAGAAAGAAAAGGGAAAGAAACGAGCCCCACACCCCGTTTTGGAGAGTGGAAAGGCATACAAGATTTTGAAGGCACATTCGGCATACTTGGTTCTGTTGACCGCACGTTACAGTTTTCAAAGCATGGAGACAATCCAAATGCTTGTGTTGGTATGTGTTGTGACTTTTCTTATGTTGATGGTGGATTTGATCTGTCAGCCATTCGTGTCTGGGGAAGGAAACACCGGCAGAATTAAGTGTGTGTTTCCGTATATGTTGGTTTTACCTCTATTGATCTGTTTGAGCAGGAGTGATGTTGATGTAGGAGTACGACGGCTGGCTTTGGGGGAATTTATCGGGATGAATTTGGGGTTTTCTTGGACATGATTGCTCGTGTAAACAATAACAAATGATTGTACAGTTGGTGCAAGGTTTGTGGGTTCTGTCAAACCGTACGATATTAGTGTTTTATAAAATTTTCAACATCATTGTTAGTGATTAATGAAGACTTGACTAATAAATTGAGAAAGTTATTTGGTGGGGGTTTTTTCCACGGTAATAATTAATAGTTAGTGGATTGAAAATTTTTTTATTTTATTGATAAATTTATTTAATTTAATTATTATTTTGGCCACTACATAAAATTATTAATTCTCAATTTTGAAGAGAAGGACAAAAAAGTAAAATTTTAAATTTTAAGATTGAAATAGATTATTTGGTATAAAAATTACAACTATATAATAGTTAAGAGATTAATTCGAGCTTTATTTTATTTATTTATTTATTTATTTTTTACCGTGTTTATATATTTGCTTAAAGAGGGAAGAACTCATATTTGTGGGAAACTTTTGTGATCTAACTTTTGCCATTACCAAAACTGATGTCGTTTTCGGGTACTACCATGGAAGAAGATAAACGAGTGCAGAATTTGCCGATTCAGACCTAGATTAGGTGATTAAGGATGTTTTGGAGGCAGTAGGCTTGAGTGAGGACATTGGGAATTGAGCGAATGTGGATGATTTTGATTGCCCAATTGGTGTTTGTTGCCAAAGAATGAGGTTGAGAAAAGTTAATGTTGCCAAATTGAAGGCAATTAAAGTGAGAGCAATCGGTTTTCTTGAGTTGTTTTAAGTTCAGGTAGTGTTTCTGCTCATATATGATACCAATATTTGGTGGACATGATTCATGTTTTTGGCTTCATTTTCTTGGAATGGAAATAGTAGTGCAAACAAGCATTTGTTCTTGTCATTTGTGTTGTGTTGTTATTTCTTAGCTCTTTAATGAATGGGTTTATGTATGTCCAATGTTATTGATTATATGATGTGCGTGGGTGATCATCTGCCTTATTAAACCCCTGCTGAATTGAAAATGGAATGATGGTTTCATGATTTTTATTTTTTTATATGATGACCCATTCTTTATAGATCTACTTTCAATAATCTTGTTTATGTGGGCATCACCATCCCGCTTATAATATTTCATGATTGAAAATTATGGCCATAAACTATGGGCCATCTTAAAGAAGTTAAGGATGTTACGGATATCTGTTTTGAATTATTAGAGTTCAGAAGCATCCTGCAGTGCTATTTTTTCATTTAAAGGCACAACCTATTATATGATGTTTAAAACTTTTGTCTATTGATCTTTAATTGAGTGTTTTGTTTTTGTTTTCGTAATATTTGGAAGCCTTTCTTACCCTTTTCTTTCTTTCGATTTGACAAAGTTGCTCCCTACAATGAAATATAAAATCTGGAGATGTCTTAAGTAGAAGTTATAGGTAAAATGGACATTGCTTGAGGAAGTGAAAATTTAAAAAAGAGAGGATAGTGTTCTCTCCTCATTTTTGTTTGAAATTTTTTAATCAAACTGACACATGAGGCTGATCTCTTTCGCTGCTGAAATGTTTCATATAACTTAAGTCTAAAAATTTAGGTTTCCTCCACTATCTTTTTTGGAATTGCATGGACTGTTCATAGACTAATAGATTAAAGTAGTTGATAGTTTACCTTTCATATTTCTCTATTTAACTAGTTTCACAATCTAAATAGTCCTTGTGCTAGAGGTTCAAGAAAAATAGTTGGTTTAAGTAAAAATGCAGGCTGTCTTTCGCATTTCTTTGACTAGAACCATCTTTTTGTTGATTCTCATGCTTACCTGGACTCAAGAAATGTCTACTTTCGGCTCTCACAGTACATATTAGTTAGTGGCAGTACAATTCCAGACTGTTGGTGAAAGACATTCAAAGATGCATTTAAATAATTTGCACCTCTTAGAATTTTCTATTCTACAGGAGAAGGTTTGGATGAAATAGGCATAGAGGCATGCCAAAATGAATAAATGATGTAAAAGGTAGTCACGTGGTACTTTTCTCTGCTCTATGTCTCTTAAACTTTTGGAAGCTAAAAGAAAATCAATCCTCTCTCAAATCTTGACAGAAAATATGTCTGATATTGAGGCTCAGACAGAGGTCTTTCTAATTTTGTAGAGCAACCAAGCATGAAAAAATCGATTTCTGTATATGATGATTTGGCATCTCTACTTGTGACATATATGTTCAATATTTTAATCTTGTAAGGATATGCCTTCATAATAGTATCCTTTGTTGCTAGATTCTTGGAGTTGCTTATGTCTGGCATAGTATGTCTGTTTGGGACACACTATTTCTACCCATTATAAGAAAAAGGCAAAAAATCATTACTACAAGGCTCACAACATTAGAGAAATACGATGTGCATATGACACTATGAGAGTACTAGAGCCACTTCAGAAATGTGCAAACTATTGTTCCTTTACAATTTAGGATATTCTTATTTCCACTAACAGCCATGAAGGTGTGAACTACAATGGAAGCTAGATTATGTTATTCCCTAAGATCTTAAATGGTGGTTTTGTATATTCAGTGACAGAGCTTGAAGGAGAAATATGCATGTACCTTATTTGTAGTCAAAATTGAACCCCAATTATATCTATCTCTCAACTCAAAGCATTTGAGGACTTTACTGCATGTTGTAGTTGTGAAACAAGCATGATACTATGATAGTTCATGTTTAACAGCAAAACCATTTACCAATTATTGTCCATTGTGCCTATGAGATCGATTCTACAAACTGGAGAATTTGGCCGCTTCTTAGATCAAGTATCTCTTCTTCATGACTTTTTTACCACTCTACTACTTAGGTTATTGATTATGGGTGCGTTTGGGATTATTGTGAAGTGCTGTAATTGTAGCTGTAGTTGTGACTATGGCTATGGTTGTACTATGCTGTGCTGTTGCTGTGATTGAAAATTATTTTGGTGTTTGGTTATTTATTTTTTTAAAGTATTATAGATGAAATATGATAGATTTTATTATTTATTAATTAAATTTTAAAAAATATTATAAGCTATATAATTATTAAAATATATTATATTTATTATTTTTTAATAATTTAGGTTTTTTAAATTTGTTTTTATTATTAAAATATTATACATTATGATATAATTAAATTATATGAAATTAAATTTTAATAAGTAATTTTATGATTATATTAAATATTAAGTATTTTCTGTAAAAGTTACCGTCAGAAAGTTTTTAAAATAAGGCTTCTGGTTTTATATATAAAATTACTGTAAATTTGATGTGACTTTTTACAGCTTTTAAAAAAAGCAATTTAAAAAAAATTATCAAACACACATATATCTAAAAATAATGTGTGACTACACGAAAAAACTCTCAACTGCAATCCCAAACGCACCCTATATTAGCTAAAGTGTGTCCATTCACAAGGTAATAGTGCCCATGTGATTTTACATAACAGACTGATTATGAGTTTGTTGACTTCATTGTCTGCATCAATAATATATACAAATGAGGGATCTTACTAATCTTATTAAAAGCATTCCAACTAAAAATTGGATGTTTGAAAATGCATGAGTGGCTTCCCATAATTTATTATCAAATAAGATCTTACGAAAGAAAAATCATTGCCGGAGGTTTTTATGAAGTCCTAAGTTTCATATTAGCATATGTGCCCGTATGATAATGAAACATGCTTTTTCATCAAATATTTAATGATTTCTCTCTTAACATTGTCAAAACAGGGATTTTCCCCCCATTAATATTCATTGTCAAAAAAGGTTGGCAACATCAATCTTTTTGCAGTTCCCATCTCTTGAACATCTGCCTTTAGGCTGGGCACCCGGTGGAAGTCATAACTTTTAGTCCTGTCTTAAAGATGGTCAACTTTCTAGCTTAAAAACAATTGTCTTTTACAATACGAGTATACATTAGGCATCATTCCTACTTTTTGTGAACACTCCTTATGATATGTTTGTCTTTTGAAAGCATGATGCAAGACAGTGGGAGGCTATTCTTGCTTTTATCAATTTTAAGCTTTCATGTACAGATAGATCTTCTCTCTGTCTTCATATGCTGAACTGTTACTGGGATTTAAGATCTGGTACTGATATACAACAAGAGATATAGTAAGTATCTGTGAAGGTTCTGATTTTTTATGATAACTTGACTCTTACATTTTATTAAAGTTGTTCTGAAAAGAACAAATATTCTTACCTACCCCCACCATGTGATCTTTATTACCTTGCAGGACTTGGTATAGAATCCTTATGACCATATCCAATGTTTAGGAGAGGACCATAAGATGATGTTTCTCTATATCCTACTCCAAACATGTGACCCACTTTTTGCATGGAACATTTTTCTTATCTGTTGACTTGATTCTCTTGTATCATATCCAAACAACTGTGATTTCTTGCAAAAACCCTTTTTTTTCCTTGATAAATAGTCCCTTCATGAGACAATACATGTCACATTTGTAGGTTCTCCTGCATTCTAATTCATATTTACTCCCATCTTACTGCCTCTACACTTTCTGCATGTTTGAATGGTGGTGTGTATTTGCAAGATTGGCCTAATTTCTAAGGTATGCTTTGACATTTCTTCTATTTTGGTTGCTGTTATCAACCATTCAATAGCATGTTATAACTTAGTCTTTGTATCTTGATTTGTACAACTTTATTTTTGTATATCATCAAAGGAAGTTAGTGGCTAGTTATTGCAGGGAGTTGGAGTCTTAATTTTAACCCTAAAATTAAGGTTATTTAGTTAGTGGATACTAACTTAACTAAACTCTTTTTGGTATATATCTGTAGTGTTTAGTTTAATTATGGACTATCTAAGCAAGTTTCATTCTTGGATAGGGCTAAATCCAGGCATCGCCTAGTTGGTGGGGACTTTTCTACTTGATTATAGCCTCAAGCTTTCCTAGATGCATATATGTCCTGTTGGTCCCAAGAATCTGTCAAATGCACTTCCCTACCTAATGGTTGGTACTTGAGAAGATGGTTTGAATATAGTTTTTATGATCATCTATAGAACTCAATCAGATTTATTACAACTCACAGTAAACATATTAGATCCAAGTAATTAGAGATAATTGGTAGGGCACTCGATGTTTTTTTTTTTTTAATGGAAAATAACATGCTTTTATCAACTCTAGATAATGCCATTTAACTATTTGACTTGCTTAAAACTTAGATCGACCCAAACTAGATTGCTCAGGTTTTCACAAGCTAGGCCCAATATACTAGCAATTGGGCTGCTGTTGACCAAAGATAGAATAATGTGGGCCACAGACCTCTAGATTGATGGAAGATTTTGAAATGGTTTGAGTCCATGATTGGTTTCCTTGATTTATCTGGTGTGGTTTATACAAATTGGAATTGGGCACAGCGGCTCAGCTATGCATTCTAGCAAGGCCTAGTTTCTTTTTTTGTTTTGTTTTGTTTTTTTGTTTTTTTTTTTCTTTGCCATTAACAGAGATAGGTTTAGTTTAGATACAAAAACATTTTTAACGAATTTCGGATAGCAGCACTTTCAAGCAAGAAATGTGGTCAAATTTTTGTTAGTTTTTAAAATGAAATCCTAAATAAGTTTTCTATAAATGTTTGAAATATTTTAATAGAAAAGTACCCATTAGTTTAGACTTTTAAAAATTATGAATGCCATAATGTTCTTTGTATTGTGTATGTGTGGGCTCAAAGGACATGTGAGTTTTAAAATGACATCATTTTAGGTTGAGATTCCTATTTCAAAATAACATTATTGTTTTGTATGTGTCTAGCCTAACATGCACTATACTCATGTTATTAAGTTGAGAATTTTGATAATTCATTTCACTAATATTTCCTTTTTACCATCAAGCATTTAGTAAGAAACTTTATCTTTTCTGTGCCAAATAAACTAAAACCCATAGTTGTTGTTAGTCGTCTCACTCTTCTAAGAGAAAGTTTGCTGTATCTCCAAGATAGAGTAGATGTGGTATCCTAAACCAATCCAAAAACACCACATCAGCCCTTTCTTTTTTTTGTTCGTGATTGATGAAGTGTGAAAAACAGCTGATGTAGTGTTTTTGGATTGGTTTGAGATATCATGTTTGCTGTATCTCGAAGATATATCAGACTTTCTCCTCTTCTAACCAAAACTTATTGCAGTCTTATTACCATTTTGAGGATTGCATACCTGTTCATGATGCTAAATATGATCATTTTAGAAAATTAGAAATAGAGCTTAATTTTAATAATTGTTCCATGCTCAATCAACACGCTTGCAGTTATCTAATTAACACCTCTTCTAAATAGAGTTTATAGAAGTACAATGATTGGAAAACTACATGGGTTAGGCAAAGCATGCAACATCATGAGATAGTTTTCAATGTTATTCTGGCAACTTGCACTCCTATAGTTTTATGTTACATGAAGGGATCGAGTATGGTATTGGATAATAACTTTGTTAATTGAAATAGAAAATGGCACAGAATAGCTGACTATACTTAAACATATGAAATGGATTGGATTAATATATCAATTATTGTTTTCTGATAACAATATGCATGACTCTTATTATGTGTTGAATCCACGTCAATGAGATTAATGTTTGTAATAAAGAAATTAAGTTGGTGTAGACTTAGACTAGTGTCAGACATGATCCATCTGATGAAGGTTGCTTTGGTGATGAGTTTTTTAAAGTTTCTTTAATATTTGGAAAACTAAAATAGGATCTCTTGATCTTTATCTTAGAAAGATCAAGAGATGAATGACATTGTCACAATATAGAAGAGATTAGGCTAATTTTCTTAAATGCCATTAGTAATTTCTTGACTTTGTTCTTCCGAGGGCAAACTTTATTCTTAGGAATCTGTGATTTTCGGAACACATTTTCATTTTTAAAAGTAAACTTGTTGGGAACTGAGTACATGGAAATTGTTTTTAGTTCCCGAGTACTCGGAGTTGTGAACATGACCCTGAATATTTTTTTCCATGTCTCTTGCTTTCCTAACTATACTTCTCTTAATCTTATCTAAATCTTCTAAATATCTGTTCGTCTTCCACCGTACCAATTCTTGTTCACCACTTAAATGTAAAGGGTGTATTTTCTTGTAATCTACAGAAAACAGTATTTTCAATTGCATAATTGTTATATTTTTTATGTTTTACAAAAAAAAAAAAGAAAAAAGGAAAAATGAAAAAAAGAAGGAAAAAAAAAATGAAAAAAGAAGTATAACTGGTGTAAATTAACATTTGTTGTCTCTGCAACTCCAATTGCTAATAGAGCATATCAATTGAAAGTGAGTTGTAGGATCATGGATAGAAACAAAACTTATTTCCCCTTTATAGACCCATAATTTAAGTTTGAAGTGAGTTTAAATAAATTTAAATCTAAATGGTTTACTATCGGTCAAATATACATTTTTAAAAAATTATTTTATTGAAGTAAATTATTATTAAAAAATAATAATGTAATTTATCATTTTAAATTTTTATTTTTAAAAAATTAATTTAAATTTAATAGTTATAGTTAAAGTCTATTAAATTATTATTTTTTAAATTTAATAAAAAATTAACAATAATTATTAAATTTGAGTCAATTTTTAAAAAATTAAAAATTAAAATAATAAATTACATCATTATTTTTTTAAGTAATAATTTATTTTAACATAATAATTTTAATAAGTTTAAGGGAAATTAGTACCTGTTGTCCTCGTTATTTCGGCATGTTTTGCAGGAAGGCGTAAATGTAGAAACGAAAGGTTGGGTCCTTCAAATTTTTTAATTCTTCTTGATTAAAATGTCATTTTGATCTTTCAATTTTTACACATAGCCTTTTTTAGTCTCTAAAGATTATTTTTCTCGGTCCATTTTGTCCCTCCGTTAAGTGGACTGTTAATTTAACAAAACTACCTTATTTTTCTCTTTACAAAAGATGTGGAAAATGTACGTGTAAAGTGTTGACGTTGGCTAAATTTTAGGTCCATTATGATAGCCTTGCAAATTATGTGTCCCTCCCTTTCATTAAATAAATTAGAATTGATGAATTAAATAAATACCGCCCAGACACATTTTTTAGTTAGCGTTGCGCTAATTCCGCGCAGGCGCTTTTCCCTTCCACCCGCGCGGGAACGTTGCCCATCCTTTCTTTATAATATATATATATATTATTTAATTATAATATCATATCAAATTATATATTTAATTATAATATATTTTTTAACTATAAAATGATATTAAATAAATAAATATAATATTATAAATTATTTTTTTAAATAATTATATAATAAATTTATAATTATACATATTACTGTAATTATATTATTATTTGTATTTTAATATCATTTGAATAGGATTTACTGTAAAATTGTATTATTGAAATAATAATGAATAAAAAAATTTACCGCGCAAGTGTAATCGACGTCAAAATTTTCTTTTTCCGGCGCGGCGATCTTAAATCGCCCTATAAAAGTCATCTCTCTCTCGCTGAATAGACCACGACCGCGTTTTCCTTTCCTTTTACTAATATTGATTTTAGCTGCAAAGTAGTAGACGCTGGTCGAGAAAATGGGTGAGAGCGCTGAGGCTGGGCCATCGGTTCCCGACAATCCATTAGGTAAAGGATATTGGAGTTTTATTTTCGTTTCTTCTTCTTTTTACCATTTTCAATGCTTCCAAGAATGCTTTTAGATATGTACATTGGATTGTGGATGAGCTTCATTTAAAAAATGTTTTTAGATGGGACTAATTAGGGGCTATGAAATGAGCTTAATTTATAGTCCTCAATTCCAGAAATGTTCATCATTGCATTGATTTTCAATGGTAGAGATTTCAGTTCAAAAAGAAATCAGAATATGTTACTATTTCTCTTCAACACTAGTTTTTTTTACTTTTCTGACATTAATTTATGAAAATTTAACACAGTTTACAGATGACAATTGATTTTTTTTGTCAAGCGAAACTACCCAACAAGAACTACCTTTAGGAAAAAAGGAAAATTTTCAATTGTTATTGATATGTTTTATTAAACTTTTATTTGAAATTCATGTCTAAAATGTCAAAAAGTCAAACTAGAACTAGTAAAGTTGAATGGAGGGGATAATTGCTTGAACAAATGTGTTGTGAGTGCTAACACAAAGTCTTGGGGTTTGATCCCGGTTTCCTTTAATCTCTAAAATCAGATAATATTTGTGATTAAGTAGTCACCCTTCACATTAATGGATTGAGGATTGTAGTTATGGCAACTTTAAGTGTACTACGAGTGGTTCTTGCTTGCTGCACCATTCCTTAACAACTTGCTCATGTATATATGGTCCTTTTGTTCACCTGCAATGTCTAATTGGTGCTAATTTAATCCTATTAAGTTAATATGAATGTGGTAATACTCTAGCATGCATTCCTTTTCTACATTTTGTTTCAAATTATTTTGCAGTACCTAATGACTTATAATTGGCATGGTGCAGATATTGAGCAGATTTACTCAAAAGCACAGAATCAGTGGTTATGCTGACCTGAAATATGTCGAATTCTTCAGAATCATAAGGGATTCCCCATTACCTCAGCTCCCCATAATAAGCCACCAAGTACCATTCCCCCAATTATAATTGCCATAATAAGCATAATTCATTTTGCTAGATAAATGACAATTGCTCTGATGGCATCTATAACTTGCATTGACTAAACCTTGTTTTTGTATAGCAGCATATCTCTTTCATGATTACATTTGTATTTTCTTTCAACTATTCCTTTTTTTTGGCACCCTTGCAACTGGTTTAGATGTTTAGTAGTTAAATCTTTTCCCCTGTTCTTTAGTTGCACGGATTCTTTATTGGGATCCATATTCTTTTTTCAAAGAATGTTTTTAATTTTACTTTTCTTCATTTGTTCTGTACGCGACGTTTTGGGCGTTGGATTTGCTTCTGATGTGATTTCTCAAGTTCCATCAACAGAGATCATATATTGAAATTAAAATCTATTTCTAACAAGAATGTGCTTACTTTATTTAATTTATTAATTTCTTCAGAACTATGCTTCTCTTATTTTCTACTAAACGAGAATACATTGGGAAAAAATAATGTCATTTGTTTGACCTATTTTATTAATTAGCTTATTTGTTGTATTCCAATAACTCCCAGTAGATAAATCCAATTCCTTTGATGTGTACCTGGAATTAGCTATCTTTATTCTGTCCTCAACATTTGTTGCTTATGGATTCCAAAACTTTTGTGGTTATGGATATTTGACATGGACACAGCTTATAAATTTACTTGCCCTTCCTAAGCAAAACCTGCACTTGCACGTGCAGCCATCTTGAAGTTTGTTTTGAATCACATCTTGGTGTAATATATGTTTCTGTTTCAGGTGGTTCACTTTTTCTTTTTAATAAGACGGAGCAAAGGTACTTTAGAATGGATGGATTAATTGGACAAAGAAAAAGGATGGGAAAACATTATCGGAAGGCCATTGGGTGTTCAAGGTAAGAGCCAAAGATGCTGGATTTTGTTTTATGTCTTAACACTGTCAATTGCTTCTTTGGAAATGATTGAAGCATCTAAGCAACACAGCCACACTATGGTACCTTTTCATTTGGTTATTCTGTTGAATTCTGATTCGAAAACATCTCGAATCTATTATTTTGAACAATCATAGTTTCTCAGGTCAAAGGCTTTGGTAATTTGAATTGCTACTGTGCCTGTGGGGAGGAGAATAGAAGTTTTCTAAGACGTTGTTATTGGATGCCTGAAAGGTTAGTCTGTCATTTTCTTTATGGTAAATGAGTGTGCCACTTTTTTATTGCTTAGTGTTTGTGCATATTTGCATGCCATGTATAAAATTTCAGAAAATAGCCTCTTCTGTTTTTGTAGGTTAGAGACATAGTTTTAATTGGGACTCTGGACTTCTTATAGGAGCATTTATTTATATATGGCAAAAAAATATGAAGTTTTCTTTCTTTCTTTCCTTTTTCAATTTCTTTTATTTTTAAATGAAGGATTATCTATGCTTACAATGAAATTAGTGTTATAATGAAATTAGTGTTTCTTTTCATTGAAAATTATATTCCACAGTTGCTGTCAGTCAGAATTAGAATCCTGTACCTTTGTCCTTTTTTTTTTTGGTAAAGACCATTTTTGGGCCCCAGCTTTCATCAGATGACCAATTAAGCCCCAAACATCTTGATGTAATTAAATTAGATCCATAAGGAATTATCTTTAAAACTGAAACTGCCTCTCAACCCTTGTTTTACTATAGAAACATTGTTTAAATAATTAATATGTAATTTCAAAAAAAAAAAAAAACTTATATTCCCTTGTTAAAAAGGAAGCACTTAACTCAACTCTACTAACTTTGAAATTATTGCTTCCAAGGGACATGGAGTGTCAGATTTAAATTATGAATTGTCTTTGCCACGGGAAATATAATTTTTTCAGTAATTTGTTTTATTTTGTATCACATCAAGTTATTCAAAGAATGTTGGATTAATTAGTACTATTAATTAATAATTTAAGGGTGAAATGTAGGTGTTAAATATTCTGGGCCATTTTGTCAGATTGAGAAGTCTGGGTGCTTTAATGATTAAAAAATTAAAGGACCTTTTTAACTACCTTATCATCTTATGAAAGTAGAGGGCCAATTTATTGTTCCTTTTTTTTTTTTTCCTTTTTAAAAATATTTATTACAAAATTTTAAAACTTGTAGTGGCACGAGTGAAATTCCAGAAACTTGTTTCTGTTCGAATAAATTAACATCCGGGTATTATGCTGAGGTTCCCCAGCTTACTTTCAAACGGAGGGGTCATGGTAGGAAGAATATTAGTTGGACTGTGTTAACTTGGTGATTGCAAATTCTGATAAAGTTTTTCAGACTTCCTTCCCCATTTCTAACATAAATAACCATTGCTGCAGGGACTTCTCCCACATTGTTCTTGTCCATTACCTGGAAGAAA